CACTCGAAGGCCATCAGGACAACACGGGCCGTCCAGGCAACGCGCTGCCGGCGACTGGAAGCAAAGCAGCTACGCTTGCAGCCAGGAGCCCATGCGAATTGCAGCCCAGTGGGCGGCCCTGGCCCGTGTGGCTCAGTGGATAGAGTGCTGGCCCTCGGACGGAAGGGTCCCGGGTTCGATTCCCGGTCAGGGGCACGGACCTCGGCTGCAGGCTCGATCCCCAGCCCCGGCCCCGGTCAGGGCGAGGGCAGGAGGCAGCCCACCGATGTGTCTCTCTCCCATCCATGTTTCTCTGTGTCTCTCCCTCTCTCTTCTACTCTCTCCAAAAATCAGTGGAAAAGTATCCTCGGGTGAGGATTGAAATAAAATTAAAAAATGCACTGGGCACGGCTCTCGGACGGCGGGAGGCCCACCGCCCTTCCCCTCAGGACTCGGCTCCTGGCCGCCTGGGCCTGAGCCTGCGTGGAGGGTCGGGAGCAGCTGCAGCCACTTTGGCACCATTAGGGGGCTTCCCACGGAACCCAAACCTCCCGCCCTGCCAGGGCCATCCTCCTAGCTTCCCGCCCAGGGAGCCCACAGGGGGAGACGCCCGCAGGGGGAGGCGGCCACAGCTGAGACCCCCGCCCTGATGCGGGCTGTGTGGCCGAGGGAAAATTGCTTAACCTCTCTGTGCCTTCACTTCCTCACACACAGGGGTCTCGAGACGCCACCTGTGGTGCAGGCCGCCTGCGCTGGTGAGAGGGGAGGGGTCTGGGGTGTGCACAGCCCTGGTGACGGGACCCCAGGCCCCTGGACAGGACCCCAGGCCCCGGCAAACCTGAGCGACCGTTCCCACGCCCGACCCGGCCTGACTGCCGCCCCTACCTCTAGCAGCTGCACGGCGCCTTCATGCTCCTTCTTCGCTTCAACCTGAGCCTTGTTGGTGATAAAAAGAGACAAGTGAAGGTTTAGGGGGGGATCTAAGAGAACGGGGGGAAGTCCAGGTGAGCTGGGAGTGAGCCCTGGTTTCTGTCCCCCTAACAGCCCCGAACTCCGAGCGTCGCGATCAGCTCTCATTTTTCTCCCCCTCCCCCTCCCCCTCCGGGCAAGATGGGGTGGATCCCGCTGCGTCCGACCCTGTGACACTGGGGGGCACCCCCTGATCTGAG